TAGCGAGCAGTACCATAGTGCTTTGTCCAGATCCTCCAGTAGATCGCTGATCAGGGGCATGGGGTAGACCATCAGCCTCGTGAGACTGTTTACCAGCTTGTAATCGATGCACAACCTGATATCCACGCCGTTACTCTTGCGAACAATCACGATCGGTGAAGCCCATGGTGATGTCGAGGGTCGGATGATCTCGGCGGCCAGGAGGCCCTTGATGAGGCCTGCGACTTTTTCACGAAATCGCGTGGGCACTTTCCGGGTTGGCAGTGCGATCGGTTTCGCATTCCCGACATCGATATCACACACGACGCCTTTGGCCGCAGGGGGTAAAAGGCGTTCTCTTTGCCGATCAGGAGATGCCGCTTTTTCCAGATGATCTGCCGGAGTCTCTCGATCTCCTCGGGTGTGGCCGATCCGGAGTCTCCCACCTGCAGATCCTCAATACTGACCTTCGCGGTCGTCGAGATCGGGATCTCAGGGAGGACAGCGAGGTTTCCCTCGAGATCTTCAGCTGAGATATTACCGCTCTCGTGGTAATATATCTCTTCGTCGTCCACGGCATCCTGTGGGGTGGTCGCTGCTGCTCTTTCCGCCAGCTGATCTCGTAGGTCGACGCCCTCGGTCGGGTGGATCGGCGATTTAGTATCGAAGGCTTTGCCGGGATCGAGTTTGATCTGGGTTTGACAGTTCAGATTTTCCGTTTTCGGCTCGGTATCCTTGATTTCAGTCCGATTTTCCGTCTTGATATCCTTGGTGTCCGTCCGATCGGTATCCTGATCCGACATGCTCTCACTTATCCCGCCGCCCTCAGCATCGCCACTCAGGTATCGATCGATATCGGGGCTAGTCGTTGTCGTAGATGAACATTCCCCGTCTAGATCGGGAAATTATGTCTCGATCTGGCCTGCGTCGGCTATTCCCGCCCTCGTTCGAGATTCAACGTTCGATCTCGGTAAATATCAGCGGATTCTGCCCTGCCAAGTATCGATCGTGGCGTGGGATACGATGGTCGTTGTACTGCAGGGTCCACCATGTCCTCTATGAGCTCTGGAGGCTCCGATCTAGTATACACTGTCGATTCCAATGCCAGATTCTGCCATTCCCGGTAGCGACGTGACCCAACGGACACGAACCCTGGGGATCGGGGCACTTTGTCCTGGTCAGGTATCATGCACGGTGGTCCAGCCGTAGGATCTCTCCTCCAATGTTCGAGATCACCTGGTAGCGGATCCGACCGGGGCCTTCCGTCACAGTCGGTCTCCATCGGTCCCCTCTGGTCACCCACAGTTCCTCAGTGGCCGACAATTTTATCCTCGCCGCTGTTTCGTCCGACCGGCCGACCGGGATTCGTAGAGATCGTTCGAGAATCACTGATCTTACCTTCTCGCCATAAAGTCTCTTACGGCCATTAAGCGGTATTCCGACCTCGTCGGGTAGTTGCATCGATCCGTCGGCGAGGTCCATCCGCACACCGGCTGGGACCATTAAATCCATGCCCGGGTCGCGTTCTGTCCTGCGAGATCTCCGATCCAGATGTCGAAAAAGTACGCCAGATATCCCGCCAGAGTGATCTTGATCTTGGTTCTTCCTTCCGTAGTATATACGTTATCACCAATTCCCACACATTCCTGTCTCTGGCTAGTGTCAAAATTGCATCCCACCTTACGAGCAAAGGTGGTATCCAAGATTGATACCTCAGCACCAATATCTAGGAGGAGGGTCGCTCTCTCGTGATTGATCCTCCCCGAGATCTTGGCTTGTCGGAACCATATTCCCGGGGAATGACGTTTCCAATATCGCCGGGACTCTCCTCTTTTGAGATCTAGGGCAACTTCCGCATTAGATCTGCTGAATTCGCTGATCTGGGGAAGACTCGCGATCTTGGCGGTGTACGAATGCAAATTACATGTATTACCGCGTAGATCCGAATCCTTCCTACCTCGATCTGTCGTCGCCTTGTTCACATAGACGTAGATGCAATATCTAGGACGCTCGGCTCGTACCGGATTCCACCCCGGCTTGCGTCCTAGTTTAACAGCTTCTCGACTTGTTCGGGGAACAGCCCGGCGTGTCGAGACGGATCGTACCATTTGCGGATCTGTTTGTAGAATTCCTCCATGGGGCATTCTCCTGCCTCATGGACGTCTCCGCATCCGCGACAAGCGTAAAGGCAGCGATCCGTCGAGTGGCCTCTCTTCCCACACTTTTTGCATGTCAGACGTTTCCAACAATCCAGATCCGTGTGTTTCCTGGATCCACAATGGGAACAGCGCTCTCGATCTTGGTGACCTCTGTCTCCCGGGTTGCGGCGATCCGAGATCCGGGCTCCCTCAGACGCTTTCGTTCGGGATCGTGCTGGATCTGGGCTTTGCGAGGCGCCCCCAGTGCCGACCAACTTCTCTTCTGCCGCGGCGAGGAATATCTTCCGTAGTTCACCTTCCGAGTCGGGTCCGTCAGATCCCGAGACCCCTTCTGATTCGGAGCTCTATCTTGTGCGTGGATCGGGCGTACCATGGCACGGGCTGGTGCAGCCGAAGCGCTGGCAGGGGCCTTCTGACGATATTTCGACCCGAACACGGATCTCCGTTGCCTGCTCGTGGCTCGTTCCCGCGCACGGAGGACCTCCTCGAGTTCGTCGACGTCGGCCAATCTTAGTCGAGTTAGGCGGTCTGCCAACTCAGGTCTCGATGTAATGATCGACATGTTCCCGACGCGCTTTTGGGTTTCCGTCCTCGATCTCGAGCTTAGCTCGTAGAGCGACTACGTTCAGTCGATAGAGATAATCGAGCGGGGTATCCTCGGATCTTTTCCTGGCATGGTAGTACTGTCATGCCACTGACATGCCCAGGCCGCAGTATTGAGTCTGGAAGCTGTCGAGTAAGTCTGCCCATTTGGTCTTAGTAGTCCGACTTAGCTGTTGGTGCCAGTTCTTGACTGGACCTACCATCAGATCTGCGAACGTGAGGCATTTCTCCTCTTCTGTTGCATGATCTCGTTGGAACGCCGATTTTACCTTGCCGATCCAAGCTCTGGCGCGATCTTCGTCCATATCTTTCCCGGTAAATTCCTTCAGATCTGAGATGGCCAAATTCGGACTCTTTGGATCAGCGATGACCCCCCAGAGCCAATCGTCGTCGTGGCGACCGTAGCTCGGCCGGAAGTATGACCGGAGGAGCTCGGAATTCCGAGATCGTCGGGATCATACTCCCAGGAGTGTAGATCCGAGGTACCGACTGACTCCATGTCGATATCCTGCGTTCCGAGGGGTGGTGGTTGGACCGTCACCAGGCTTTGTTCCTTCAGGAATCGATTCATCGCCATCTGGAAATATTTGTCCAGTCTGTTGCTAGATCCGGTCGAATTGGTCGTTGGAGTGGTTCGTCCTGCTGGGATCTGGCGCTTTTCCTGTCGAATGAGCTTCTCAGGAGTTTGGCTCGGTCTTGCCGGCCGTTGATCCGGCCTGTTCACGCGTGCTTTCAGATATTTGGCGCCCGAGGGACCTAGCGACATACGTTGTGGGGCTCGAGGAGAATTTGAATCTGGTTCCGTGGTGGCCGACGCGTAGTGTGACGATCCGGTTTGGTAGTTCAGATCGGGTGCTTGTACGTGTTCGCCGACTAAGATCTTGAGCGAGTCGAAGCGATTCTCTGACGCCGACTGGATTGCCACCAGTTCCAACTCGAACAGGAAATCTGGATCGAATTTTCCAGCTACTAGCCCGGCCTCCTGGAGAAGATCTAGCAGGATCTTCACTGCATTCAGCCTATCTGAGCTGGTGTTGGGCTTGGATACCGGGCCTCTCAGATTGCCGATCTGGCGGACCTGTATGATCGCGAGGACAGGGTCATGTAGCAGTGTCTCGCTCAGGATCTTCCGATAATAAACCTGCCCGATCATGTCTTTGGCGATGGTCGATCTCGGCTTATTCACGTCTTCCGATTCCGAATATGGTGCTTTCAGCTTCGTCCGAGCGGCCTAGATCATCTTTTTCTTGGACGATCTAGTCGTGACCACCAACTTGGTGGACGGATTGGGCTTCGATTTAGTCGTTTCCTTGTCGATTGTGTACGGATCTAGGTTCTCATCGAGATCCGCGGTGGTCGCCGGGACGGCCATCAGAGGTATTCGAGGCTTTTCTTCAAGATCTGGGTCTTGATCCAGGTCCGCCTCGTGTCTGTCAGTAGAGATCCTCTCCGTACTCCGCTGATCTGTGCATCTTGCTGTATTCAACGATGCTTCCGTCGATCCAATATTCGTAGATATATTCCCTGTGTTCTTCTTTGTCCTTGACATCTTCTTGGAACTCAAGGTGAAATCCCGAGTCACCAGAAGATCCGGGCACACGCACCATTGTGGCGAAGCGGAATCCGTGAAAATCTTGTGATCGCGGTTCCCGATACCACTGGCGCCTGAACACCGACTAACGAAGGGGTCCTCCGATGACTCGTGATCTGGTTGTGTTCTTGTTCTCACCTTGTGTACCCGACGGCGGGCGCGTTACGCTCTCCTGGGTGACTCGTACGGTGTCGATCGCAGAAGGTGGAACGCAGGGGCTTGAAATAGCGTGGGAGTTCTTCACTCTACCTCGGGTCGGTTGATCTCGATCGCGGGCGTGTCCTTGAGCCGCGATCTAGCTTCCTGGTTGTCGATCCAGGTCTTCCGGGGGTCCAATGTCGGGGATCTTTCTCCTTCATTATGTATGCTTGCCGCTTTCTGTAACGGGGAACTTGCTGAGTTGAGATCCGACGTGATTGTCCGGTCAAGCAACCAATGCCTTCCGATCAGCAGTACACACTTGAGGACAAGTCACTAGGTAAGGGAAAGCTGGCCAATATAATCCAGGCTTAACCACTACGCTAGATCATACGTCCTTACCGTCTGCGCGCTTGAGATGCCAATTTAAACCCCGATTCCAGGCGTGGCAGACACTTGTACAGCTTAGAGAAAATTCGAGTCTGTTTACGTTTATCCCTATATCCACTAACCCATCCTCAGAGGCTATCCTACGATCACCTGACGTCCGGATACTTACCTGATCCTGAGATCTTCCGATCTCGATCGTGATCTTAGCCGGTGATCGCGGTCTTGAGCCGTCTCCCCGATTGTGACCTCGGATGGCCTCTCCGATCGCCGTCGCGCGGTGACTTCATAGTCGCCGTTCGCCCGTGACGCACGACTGCTGCCGCACGACGATCCTGACCCGTTTCTCCTTCCTCGATCCTGGATCGCCGCCTTGCCTTGACCTGGGATCGTTGTCATCCACCCGCGTACCTTGATCGATAATAAGCGTTGCTCCCAAGTTGCCATCTCTCCTCGATCGCTGTCTGCCGACTTGCCACGGTCCCGGATCGCCGGTCGTCAGCGATCCATGTCCACTAATATCCCTTGATCCTGGATATCTCAGGCCGAGGCACGGTAGGTCGCCATCCATCACTCCAGGAGTCAAGCTTAGGTCATCCAATGTCAACATCACTCACCGGCGTTGTCGCACGCTGGATCTTGGACAGGTGACCCGATGTCTAGGCCTGAGTGGGATTCCTTTCGCCTGGTCCGTCTCTATCTTCCGATCTGGCAGCCGAGGTTGCCTTTCTCGCGAGATCTTATTCGCACTTCACCACACAGACAAAGAGAAGCGTTGAAGACCGAAGCTTCGGTCGAAGCCGTACCACTTGCAACTGGACCGAGCGGAGTGACTAGACGCCCCACCGACACCCCGCGAGTTGCCAAATTCAATGCCGGTGCGGGAGTTGGTGAAGGTGGAGCGTCGTTGCTCGACAGTGGGGACAACGGCGAAGCTTGAGCCTCGTCTTGTCCATCCGGCGATGGAAGCCCCTCGGGCACCCCGCCATCTAACGTCGGTGCGGAGTTGGCGAGTGAGGAGTCTCCATGGAGGCTCCAAAGTGGTCGGTCGATGAGGATGGAGACGGAGAGTACTCCTGATTGTGGGAATACATGATGAAGATGGAGAATAGCGAGACCTCGGATGACACAGCAGTTGGAAATGAAGGAACGTACCAGGTCGTTGGCGTGGAGAGCCCTGCTGGTCTCACGCATAGCGTCGATGAGAGCTCTCGACACGAGTGACATGGCTGCTTGGCCAAAGTGCGGCTCGTCGTTCGCCAGCTCCGAAGGTTCACAACGAGCTGGGGCAGTTGTGATGAGGTGTTTTGGAATACGCAAAGCACCTAGTCACCGAGCCAACTGTCACAGAGATTTCGAATGAAAGACCTTTTATGGGCCCTGATTGGTGGATCACATTCCCCGCATCGGAGTGGCAAGCGTTGTTTAGTGACTATTCAAGGCTTCGGTTATCCTAATATAACCTAACCGAGGCCCTCTGAATTAGGATAAGTTGAGGACTTTGTACCCATGTTCTGGTCGGGTTCTCGGGCGGGAATGTTGGTATCGCACCTACGCGAAGTACATTAGTACGGCCAGAGGGTGTCCCAGGAACATTCGTTTATACTTGATGTTTGTATAGGGTT